TGCCGAACCAGACCCCCCCCTGCAGCCCAGGGAGGTCCATGGGGGAGCAGATCCCCCCCTGCAGCCCGGGGAGGACCCCACGCCGGAGCGGGGGGATGCCCAAAGGGAGGAGGCTGTGATCCCATGGGAAGCCACGGAAAGAGAAGGTTTGGAAGAAGCGGAAGGAGGGGTGGCCCGTGTGGGTGAACCGCGTCTGGACCTTGGAGCAGTGCACTCCCTTCTCCCACGAGGCGGCCAAGTGGGTGGTGGCGGCCATCGGGCTGCCCTGGCCCGCGGTGGGGGCAGTGGTGCGGGCCCTGCCCGCCGAGGAGGCGCTGGGCGGGGAGATCTTGCGGCTGGTGGTCAGAAACCTGGGGGAGTACAAGCCCCTCAGAGATTTCACGGAGGGGCCCCCTTGGCGAGACGTCCGTGAGGCGTCGGCCTACCTGTGTGGGAACGTCCTGCTCCGGGCCTTGAAGCAAAGGGAGAAACCGGTCACCCCCGACTTTGACATCTTTGGGGTGAACGTGGAGCAGGGGGACGTGGGGGTGCTGGCCTGCCGCGCCCCCGAGCTGCAGAAGGGGTTTTTCATCAGCCTGGGGTCTACTTTAATCGGCCATCCCCTCGGTGAATGCATGGCTACCTTGGAGAACGTGGGGACCCTGTTGGGAGCTGAGGGGAAAGGGGTGGCGAAGAAGGACGGGACGGGGGCGAAGGGAAGGAAATACATTCCTAGAGGGACGATTTGGAGATACTTAATAAACCAGGGGGTGAATGAAGGAGAGCTAGATAGTCAGCCCACGGGAGTTTTGCTTGCCAAAATGAAGAAGATCCTTCAGGAAAAGGGGATGAAGCAAGAGGAGATTTGGGAAAAACTGAAGCAGATCAGTCTATCGGCTCCACCCCCTATCCCAAAGAGAAAGCTGCACCCCCCCTTAGGGGACCTTAAAGATTAGGAGTCCCAGCCCCTCGTGGTGGTGGGATTAACCTCCACCACACTGACCTGGTGTGCAGGGGGAAGGGGCTGCATGGAGGTACGGTGTCTGTCGAAGGGGGGTGGGAAGTTACTTAATTGCTATGGGATCAGAGATGTTACTAGATTACCAGGGTCTTCCACTCCTGGCTAAATCTGTCTGGATATTGGGAGTGGGAAGGGGAAAAGGGGTAGAAGCCCAGTTGTGGGTAGGGGAAGATAAGCCGAATGGGTGGATAATTCTGGTAAGGGGGGGGGCGCAAACATTTTGGGTAGGAATTTGCCATCTCAGATCAAGGTAAATCTGTCCAAGGGAAAACTGTATTGTGCTGCTGCCTCAAAAAGTGAAGCAATTGCAGGAGTCCTCAAGTCAGTGAAGTGCCCATCTAAAAGTAAAACAGAAACGGAGTAGTAAATGAGAAGAGTATGGGGTGGTTCCAGCCGGAGACTCCCTCTTCCCATCCCAGTACCCATATGGTACCGAAGCACAGAAGGGTCACGAGGATACTTGGGGTGTGCAACAAAGGCTGAAAGGGACTTAAAATCCCTATTTGCACAACCTCTGTGGAAGTCCAGGGGTGTGGAGTATGTGGATGGTGGAAACCCCTAGCAGTGAATTGTAAATCCACATTGGGTTATGCCTTTGACTCCTGGGGTTGAGCACCACTTGAACAGTGGCAAATTGATTACATGGGCCCCTTCAAGAGGTTGGAGGAGGGTCTGCATCAGTTCGTATCTGCTGCCGTTGAGAGAATACCAAGATGGACAGAGGCAATGGCAGCGTGCGAGGTTACTGCTAACACCACGGTTTGGTGTCTGTGTGAAGTGTTGAATGGATGTGGTCCTCCAGCCTTAACTGATTCTGATAAAGGAAACCACTTGACAGATGCACCCATCCAGAAGTTCCTGGAAGGGGTAGGGGTGCATCAGTTAACTCGCATTTCCTACCATCCACAGTCCTCCAGGGTAGTGAAGAGAGCCAGTAGTTTCATCAAGGTGAGACAGAAGTTAATTGCCGAAGAAAGAGGGCTGTGCTGGGATGAAGCACTTCTGTTTGCATGCTGGGAAATGGGAACAAAAGAGCTTGCCAGGTACCGCTGCAGCCCTCAGTGGGCATCCTCCATGGCGATGCCAGCCGACAGCCGTGCGCCTCCAATACCGATTCGGTCCTGGGGCAGGGTTCCATCAGCAGAGAGCACAGGCCCATGCTGCTCTCCAGAGTCGCAGAGCTCAGGAGCAGCATGCTGATACAAAGCAACATGAAAATCAGCCCCCACTGGGAAATGTGGTCCTGTCCACACCCCAGGTATGAAGGGGAAGGCCCAGAGAAAATTTAGGGGTGATTGTGGCTGGTGGGTTGGGAAATGGAGAACTAATTGGAAAAAAAAAAGAAGTGGGGGCCAGGGGGGTGTTTGTGGGTAGATGGGGCCCACTGCTGGCAAATCAAAGAGACTGTTTCTAACTAATGTGTAGGTAAGATTGGTTTTCAGGATCAAATATGGCTGTGGGATCGATCGCAGGTGTGGACCACAGAGAGCCTCACCGAGGACCCTTGTCTTCGAGGTGCTCATTGTTGTGTTAAGACGGCATCAGGAATACTGTTAAAGCATTGCAGGCCCTGTTCGGTGTGTTCTGCTGGATTCTGGGTGTAACAGCGGTGGTTTGGATATGGAACATCAGTGCTGTTAATAATTCTATTTCATTCAGGAATGATGTCAAAGGAATTTTGATACAAGACCTGGAGATGATGGGGATGACCTCAGGTGTTTGGTTTCCCAGTAATAAGCATTTGTTGATAGTCCTTCCAGAATAACTGTCCTCACCTGTAAGAGAGCATGGGCTGTACCAAAAGATGGAATTAACAGATGTTTAGTTTGGATCCCCATATGGGGCAGTAGCAGAAGTTGCACAGGCTGTTAAATGGTACCTTTGCAACCAGTGTCATAACAGGGGATGCAGCTGTATCGCCTCATGTGCTCTTAAATTGTTCAGATGGTGCAGATCTAGTTTTGGCTGCTGAGCATATCCAAAACTAAAATCATACCATCCACAAACCCTGTAGGGTAGTATCCATATTAATCCTGTAAGATGGGGAAAGAGATGGGGCATGGATATGTGAGGCATGAACTGTTCTAGAATACATCCAGAGTGGGACCTGTATGTGCTGTGGCTCTCTTATGACTACAGAGTCTCCATCCTTGGAGATACTCAAAAGCTGTCTGGAGACAGTCCTGGGCAACCGGCTCTAGGTGACCCTGCTTGAGCAAGGGGCTGGACCAGATGATCTCCAGAGGTCCCTTCCAACCCCAACCATTCTGTGATTCATTCCATGAAAATGGCAGCAGTCTTGAATCATATACAAGGTAAACAGGTAACAAACTTCAGACTGTTGTTTGATACAACAGCAGTGATAACTGCCTGGGATTAACCAAATGTGGCACCTGGTAAAATCAACTGCCAAGTTAGAAAACCAAACCAACAAACTATAAGGGATTAAATTCAGTATATCTCTACCTGTTGTACTCGAGCTCAATTGTTAGCTATTAAACCAGCTTTTTCAGCTGGATTAGCTCTGTTCTAGGGAGAGAAATCTGGGGGTGAAGTTGAGCCCAGGAAGAAGGGAGGGGTGGGGGGAGGTGGTTTAAGATTTAGCAGTTTTGCTCCTCTCCTCCTCTGATTTTGATTGATAAAACATTAAATTCATTTTTTCAAGCTGAGTCTGTTTTGCCCAGGCTGGTAACTGGGGAACGATCCCTCCCTGGCCTTATCTCGACCCACGAGCCCTTTGGTTTGCTTTTCTCCCCTCTGTCCAGTTCAAGAGGGGAGTGATGGAGCGGCTTTGGTGGGCCCCTGGCATCCAGCCAGGGCCAAACCACCACAACGTGGTGACAATGTGCACTGGGCACAAGTGACCCCAGGCATGAGGGACAGCGAGCACAGGCAGGGCCGGGCACGAGCCTGGTGAAAGAGATGGCACGCGTAAGGGACACTGGGCACGAGCAGTGTCGGGGCACAAGCAACGCAAGGGATGAGGGACGTGGGTCCCTCCACCTGGGGAGGTTGAACCCCAAGCACCAGGACAGGTTGGGGGCTGAGCTGCTGGAGAGCAGCTCCGCCCAGAGGGACCTGGGGGTCCTGGTGGATGACAAGGTGGCCATGAGCCAGCAGGGTGCCCTGGTGGCCAAGAAGGCCAATGGCACCCTGGGGTGCATCAAGAGGAGCGTGGCCAGCAGGGCGAGGGAGGTTCTCCTCCCCCTCTGCTCTGCCCCATTGAGACCCCACCTGGAGCTCTGCGTCCAGTTCTGGGGTCCCCAGTTCAAGAAGGATGAGGAGCTCCTGGAGAGAGTCCAGAGGAGGGCAACAAGGATGATGGGGGGACTGGGGCATCTCCCCTAGGAGGAAAGGCTGAGGGAGCTGGGCTTGTTCAGCCTGGAGAAGAGAAGGCTGAGAGGGGATCTCATCACCATGTACAAATATCTCAAGGGTGGGGGTCACGAGGAC